TATTTTAAGTACTTTGGACCAGATTTAAATTTTTAAAATTATTTTATTATCTCTGGCATTTTCATTTATAGTGACATTTATATACACATGTATAGAGGAGGTGTGTGCATGTGAGATGTATTCCCTGGAGCATTTAATAAAACCCATTTTTCTATCACTAATTCATTTACAACTAAAAAAGCGCATACAGGTAAATTTGAGACTTTCCTTTTGATAATAATTTCCATTATCGTTTGAATGGAAGAAATTCTTACGAATTGTGTTCAGGGTATAAGTTTCGGTACACTCTCATTTTGCACTGAGACTTAACTGTGTCTTTGTACAATGTGTGATAATTTAGCCATGTATTTTATTTTATTTTTTAACCATATATTTTAATAATTACTGACAGTTTAATGGCATCAAAAATACTCAAGTCTATCTGGATTTTCGCTGTTTTTTTTTTTCCCTCTGCACTCTTCTTTTTCTTAAAAGCATGAAAGACCCCTGTGCAACTACAGAGCCTTTGTTTTTGCTTCCCTGTACTTTGGTACATTGCTTCTCCTTAATCTAGCAGCATCCTTAGCTTGTAGTATTTTACTTAGTGGCAACTGAAAAAAATCACTAGCTTGGGCTTTAACTGGGAACTATTATCCAGAAGGTTACTGTGAACCTGTCAGGAAGGTGGTGAGCAACCAAAAGAGCTGTCTCACAGACTGTGCACCCAGAGCTCATCCAGCCCATTAGAAACTAAGCAGGCTTGGTTATCTCACGTCCCAGCTCATAACAGATGAACACAGCACATTAGAAGGAAGTGGGGAGCCTGTTAGAGGCAGGTATATTGATAGTGTGGTAGGAGACCACTATATAAGCAAAACAAACTGCTTAGCAGATACAAAATTTTTTAAATTAAAAAAAAAAAAAAACCACACCAGGAATCTGAGGCAAATGATTATATATACCTCGAGGCTGAGGGATCACTTTATAATAAGTAATATCAATTTGTTATAGCCCTTACAATTTATGAATTATTTTACATACATTAGAGCTCATTAGATATTTGTAATAACACATGAATATAACTTACTTTCATCATGAAAAAGTGAATTGTACTGAGCATGCTGTTTAAGAAGAAGGCGGGTAGGTATACTGACATATCTGAAAGACTTGCATCAAAAATAATTACAAGTTTTAAATTTTGGCACTTAAGACATATGCATTAATTATCCCAACAATATATATGCTTTCCTTCATGACCAACACTGTGTTACTGAATTTTCATAGCTCTCAGTGACTGCTGGTCATTAAATGGGGATGACTGTCATCAGTAAGTTATCAGACCATTTCTCCTGTTAAACACAAGCTTAACAGATTCTTATGGATGCCAACACCATATATTCTAATATGGGAAACACTAGGCTCCTAAAAGAGTCTCAGAGTGTTTTTCCTATATTGCACTTTCTAGAAAACAGCATTAACAATGATATGATGTGATCTTGGTTCTAGACATAGGAGTGAGGAGTATTACCTTTTTCATGCTTGTTTTCCTAAAATTTTTGGTGTAACCTCTTCTCAGGGATGTAACAAGGAGAAACAAAATATACATGCTCTTTGGGCTTCTGAGAAAAAAGACCACAGACATTTTCAAAAGATAAAAATAGAGGTCTCTTCTGCATCAGCCACTTCATTTTCACAATTGAAAATAAGGAACTATGGTATATTTGATGTTTTTAAACTCGTTATAGCTTTGCCATAAATACACTGTTCTGCAGAAAGCTTTTTAAAACATGTATAATTTATACTATACTTACCAACAATTATATTATCAATTATAATACATTTACCAATTATCATGATTAAAAATGACTAAATAAAATTTTAGAGTTAAAAACACCAGATTAGATTTTATACACCAGGTGAAATGGGATCTTGAAATTTTAAGTGTAATCTCCTC